GTTGAAGGTTCTATTGTTTTTGGAAAAAGGAAGTATATTAGGTCTGATTCGAAAACAAATTAGCCAAGTAGAAAAAACTAAAGATTCTTAATTCTAGTCCGGAAGGAAAACAAAAGGGATTAGATTTCAATATGGCATGAAACTAGACAATAAAAATGGATATTTGAGTTTCAGAGTTTGGGTGGGTTCTGTTCATCCTTTCTGAAGAAAGATGCGGGACATTAGGTTCCCTTTGTTTTATTTTCCTCAAGTAAAAGTGGCGATGTGTCCTTTTTTTCTAACCCTCATATTGAATTTTAATGATGTGTCAAGCTTATATAAATAAATAGAGAGAGTTTTAAATTTGTCCTTAAAAGTCATTTTGCAAATGGATAAATTTGTTTTAAAATTTTTAAACATAAAGTGGGTGGGAAAATAGGACAGTTGGGTGGAAATAGCAGCACTCATTTACAAAAGCACAAGTCTAAAAGACAAAGGAGCAATAAAAAACCAGAAGCCTGTGACGATGCGAAAGCAACCAAAAACTAACTGGAATTGGCCGAATCGAAGCCGAAACCGTCGGCCAAAAATGGGTTTAAGAATTTGTTTGGGGGTGGTAGAAATCCACCCGGGCACGAGAATTGGTTGGGCTAGAGCTGGAAGGGCGGCCGGATTTTTCTGCTGGGCACGGCCAGGATTGGAGGGGTTCGCAGGCATGATTATTGGAGATCTTGGCCAGGTATTGAGTGTTTGTTGAGACTGAATTTGTTGGGCTGGGGTCCAATGGTTTTGGCGGTCGAGATTTGGAAGTGTTGGAGCCTTGGAGAATTGCGGCTGGAGGTATTTGAAATACCATAGATTGGGCTGTGGGTCTCAAAACTGGGAGCTGATGGTTCAAATTATAAATGAATATATATATATATATATATATAATATAGGATATATAAATAGCGGCCGACTGTGTTGAAAAAAGTGTGGCGGCCGTATTTGGTTTCCTAGCAAATTGGGCAGAAGGACTTTGAGTTGGAAGTTTAATATATATATATATATATATATATATATATATATATATATATGGAGGCGGATCTATGACACCATATTTTTGACACAAGTTTTGACACAATTTTATAGAATTTAGATGCAAGTACTTTCAAGGGCTAAGATTAAATGTGATTTTATTATTTATTTATTTTATTTCGATAACATAACAAATAAATAAAATATTAAACTCACCACTTTTCAAGGTAGCATAAATGTAGGCTAAAATCTCTCCATCTCCTTCAATCTAATTTATTCTCACGTTTTTGAGTTTGAACTTTTCTTTTTTATTCAATTTTTTTCCTTTATCTGGAAACAAAGTTATGAGTTGATCTCCAAACACGCAAGGATCTATTCCAAATTTTTCCACACTTCATGCAATTTTCGCTAAATATTCTGGAGATTGTTTGAAAATCTTAATTGTTAATTGTGCTAAGAAGCTATGGATACTTTTTGCTGTAGTTAGATGCTAAACTGTTTGAGAATGAACTTGAACTTCTCATGGTAAAAGACATTAAGAAATCCAAAATTGTAAGAGGAGAAAGAAATTCGAATAAAAAGTAATCCAAGGATTTAGAGACTCAAATCTCAAGAAAATAACAAAAGAACCAACATACAAGGCTGCAATAAACCTCACCAAATTTTGCTGCAAGATAGAGAGAGACAGTAGTTGAACCAGACCCCAAAGGAATAAAAAAAGGATCAGGAAAAAAATTTCATACTCAGAGAATTAGCTCATACCATTTATTATATTGGTTGAAATCTTAGGGGGAAAAAATTATTGGCTAACATGTGAAATATGGGAGGGAGAAGAGCCACTTCTTGTTTAGTGCTGGTAGTGATAAAGAAATTGTCAAAGGTAGAAAGAAGATTTGGAAGAAGAAGAAAAAACAGAAGTAAAGGCATGAAGAAGAAGATGACGTGAGAGAAAATGTTAACGCTTTTAGGAAATTGGGGAAACATAAATGAAGAGAGATAAAATATTATAGTAAGTTAATTAAAATTAATTTAAACAAAAAGAATTAATTTGTTTAATCTTAACCATTCATTGTAGCCTAATCTAATGGTTAAGAAATTGTGTCAAAACTTGTGTCAAATTTGTGGTGCCACAGATCCGCCCCATATATATATATATATATATATATATATATATATAGTCCCCTTCTATTGAGGGATCTCTCAAATAATTTTATTTGAGGGACGCCCTTTAGGGTACCCTACAATTTTTTTGCCAATGATCCAAACCATCTATTTTTTAGGTCTTCAGTCATAGATCATCCTTACAAAAAATTAGACAAATCAGAAACCGTTTCGACATCCAATTGTGTCTTACAAAATCAATGAACACGGTGCTTCAAGAAAGTACTAAAATTTCAATAACTCAATTGAGTGGTCAAATGATATCGGATTTAAGTGATTTTTTGTAGAGATGATCTTTGAATGAGTATTTACAAAATAGATGGTTTGGATTAGTGAAATACAATCCGGAGTGAGGCCTACAAGGGATGTCCCTCAAATAAACTTATTTGAGGGATCCCTCAATGGAAGCTCTCTGTATATATATATATATATATATATATATATATATATGAATATGTCGGCCAGGTATTTGGTTTTGAGCAGGGCGCATGGATCTCTTTGCAAGATGGGCTGAAAGTTTTTGGTCTTACTTTATATATATATAATAGGAGAATGCGGGGGAGCCCTTTGGGTGGTCTGCAAGTGGGCTGAAATGTTCACCGGCTAATGGTCATTTATATATATATATATATATATATATATATATACAGTCCCCTTCTATTGAGGGATCCCTCAAATAATTTTATTTGAGGGACGCCCTTTAGGGTATCCTACAATTTTTTTTCCAATGATCCAAACCATCTATTTTTTAGGTCTTCATTCATAGATCATCTTTACAAAAAATTAGACAAATCGGAAACCGTTTTGACATCCAATTGTGTCCTACAAAATCAATGAACACGGTGCTTCAAGAAAGTACTAAAATTTCAATAACTCAATTGAATGGTCAAATGATATCGGATTCAAGTGATTTTTGTAGAGATGATCTTTGAATGTGTATCTACAAAATAGACGGTTTGGATTAGTGAAATACAATCCGGAGTAGGCTCTACAAGGGGTGTCCCTCAAATAAGCTTATTTGAGGGATCCCTCAATGGAAGCTCTCTGTATATATATATATATATATATATATATATATATATATATAAGAATACACCTATGCCTGCTAGCCCCTTCAAAGCCTTTGAAAACAATGATGATAATAGAAGACTAATTGAGCAGAATAATTATACCAATCAGAGTTTAATTGTCATAGGGAAACAACTGGATACCATTGAAACTAAAATTGACAAGATAAGTTCCCCAGAAATTAAGTCTAAACCAAAAATTGAAAAACCAATAGTTCAGTTCCAGGATCTTAAGTCAAGCCCCACACTTAAGATTAAACCTACAATGAAGAAAATTGAAGAGATGTTAGAACAGTTGACCCCAAGTAAAGCTGAAAAATCTGGTCTTAAAACACTAGATTCCTTTGCAAATATGTATCTTTACATTATTTTAGGTTTATTTAATATATATTATATGGATGGCAATGTAAGAGAAATCGGATGCCCAACTTTAAGCTACCGATTCAAGTCCGGATTTTTCGGAGGATTATGTGCACGTGATGGAGGTCTCACAAGGAAAGAAATCAAGAGATTTGATAGTAACTCCAAGTGTTCCAAAGCAAGGAAGAATCAAGCATGTCAGAATATCTCAATCAATGCAATCCTACGGATTTAGGGGGGCCTTGGAAGGAAAGATTTTTAAGAAGAGTTGATATTTGGTCATTCAATGGCCAACCAATGGGCTGACGAGTGCCCTATATAAACCTTGCTCAACGAAGGCATCAGACACACAACATCAGACCAACAAACTTATCTTTCGTCTCGCACTTTTCTTTTCCTAGACTTAGGATTTTACTTTTCAAGCACCTAGTGTAGCGAGTTCTTCATTTTCTTAGTATAAGTTTAAATTCTCGTTCAATTTATATTTTCTTGTACTTTAAATTCAAGTTTTTTTCAATTGCTTTGCTTTTCATTGTTATCGCATTTCAATTAATTAATTTATGCAATTTACATTACGCACTTGTCTTTACATTCTTTATTTTACGCACTCGTATTTAAATTATTTATTTTACGCACTTTACTTTCCGCGCTCGTCTTTCAATTATATTTAAATTCAAGCACCTTTAACTTTACGCACGTGTTCTTCGTTTCATTATTTTTCACTTTCAATCTTCATCTCCACCCACTCTACATTATTTGGTTACTCACATAAAGCCTTGACCCCGAGATAGTGAAAGAACCTAGGCCGTGAGGAGGTTCCTTGCTCAACTGAACAATCGTTTGATTAAAGTTAGATCTCAGACGCAACATATCCATCTACTCACATTCCATTCAAACCCAAATTCAGGGCTTGGTGGTGGCACGCCCCGCACTCAAAAGAAGAAGGACCAAAAACTCCTTCAATCGGCCTACCCGGCCGAAAAAAGGGAAACATAATTTGGCACGCCCGGTGGGACACACTCTATGAGCGACCGAAAGGAATGGCAACATTCCTATCAGCGGACGAACTACAACGGCTATGATTCTTATGGCTCGAATAGCCAATCCATCAGCCAATATTATGGTCAATATAATTTTACCCATCAAGGTGGGCCTAACACCCAATATGGCTCAAGTAGTCAGTTTGGTGGCCAATATGGTGGGCACAACTATGTTGGAGGATTTGGTGACCAATATAGCGGGCTCAATTATATTGGCGAATATGATGTTATGAACCAAAATGGTTCGAATTATTAAAATGGCTTTGGTGGCCAAACCAATCAAAATGGCTATAGCGACCAATATGGTTCGACATATCAATATGGCTCTGGTAGCCAATTCAATGGCCAACATGACTATAATGGCCAGTATAATCAAATGGCCAGCAGACAATACACTTACTCAGGTGGCCAAAATAATCCGCCTAATATTTATGATCAGCCTAGTTATGGCTCCTACCAGATGAATCATCCTAATGGCTATGATGACCAAAATGTTCTTAGCGTAAGGGAAATGCCATATGTTAACCGCATGGACAAAGAACATCAAAATGTCATAAAGGAAATATTTGAAGTGAAAGATTTATTTATGGAGATGGCAGTTTCCAACGAACTTTTGGTCCAACATTTGCGTGAAATCTCCATGCGACTTGCGACCGAAGAGCAAGTTCTTAGCCAACAAGATGAGGGGCAAACTCTAAACCCCAACCTTAATTCTCAGTCACAAAAGGAAAATTCTCATGTGGTTGCAAGTCGGCCACCCATTCCACCTACTCCTCTAGAGGAAAGTGAGGTTAGTAGGGAATATAAGAATGAGAAAGAGATGGGTGAGACGATGTTAGGATCAAATGTTCAAGTCGACCATCCTATTGAGAGCTTGACATTGGTTGAGGAAAAGGAGTACACCCAAGGGGATAAGACCCAAAAGATGGCCACAGATGAAAATTGCAATACGGTCCAACCCAAGGCCACTATCCTAGGATGTAATAACTTACCACCTAGTGAAGAAGGAGGTCGAAGCACGACCCAAGGTGGAATCATAATAGACATGATTGTAGGAGAAAAACTAGACATTGCGAGACCACAATTGCAAGTGGTCAAGTTTATTGAGCCCCAGCCAAAGGCCAAGATTGGCCGACCAAATGGACTTGGGGGGCATGAAGGGTCGGCCAAAGTGATGGCCAAAAGTCATCCGGGTAGTTCTAGTCATCCTGATATTTTAACCCATCGCCAACAAAATGGCAAAATCCAAGTCAAGAATAGGAAGGGCTCCAAGCTTGGAGTAAAACATGGTTGGCCACCACCATGGTCTCCATGAAAATTTTGTTATACACGGCCACCTACTAGGTAGGCCTTTAAGATTCAAATAAAGTTCATGGTTCATTCTTGAATGAATTGGCCACTTTGTTATAAAAAATAATTTTTTTAAAAAATGGCAATGGCTCAATATTGAGTTTCATCGGCGGAAGATGAATAACTCTTTAATTTCGGCCACAAAGGTGGAAGTTTGTAATTTTTGGGTGAAAGATGACTTGGGGTCATGTCCATCACCCAAGTAATCCGTCGAAGGGATTCACATCACTTTGGGCATAATCAAATGGTTGGTTCACTCCCTATGAATACTCAGCCACAAAATGTTCCGACCGCTCAACAAGAGCAAAATAGCCATGGCCGAGCAATGGCCCTCGGCCACGACCAAGTGTTAGTTGAAGATGTTATGGAAGTCGCTAGGGGACTAATCTTGAGGCCGAATCTGGCCACTTCATTGGAACTCTAACAACTCATGCGTGTCATGGAGACAATGGGCCAAACTATGGCCACTCAAAATGCCCAAATCAATGAGAGGTTTGATCGATGGTTAGGCCAACAAAATGGCCAAAATGGAAACCAATGGGCACCTAATGGAATACCAGCGGTGGGGCCTCAAGTTGAGGCCCAGCTAAATATTTTTGGAGTGAATCCACCCCAACTTAATCCACCAGCTGGGGGCAACCAAGCCTCAATGGTTAATATTCCGCCGATGGGCAACAACCCATATGCGGCGGTCAACCAATTTCAAGTGTTCCTGCCATATAATCAATTCCGCCAACACGCTCACCAAGGGGCTGGGGCCAATTTTGCTGGGCCTCATATCAACAAATTTGAAGTCGGTGGTTGGAATAATCCCAGCGGGAATGCTAACAACCTGTTTCTAGGGAATCAAGTAATCGACCGAGGTGCGGTCGAACAAATGATTCAAAATATGGTCTGTGGCCAATGTCATGGCCCAATTAGCATCCGGAGTGGAAATCTCCGAGTGGCTCTCTGAGGAGCTTTTTAAAGTAGAGAAATGATCTCTCCCCTCCGTCTTTGAAAGAGGGACTCCAGCGGAAGTTATGGTGTTAACCATAACACCGGAGGATTGGAGGCACGACATCGTGCAATATTTGAAAAATCCAAATGGGTTACATAGCCAACAAGTTTGGCAGAAGGCCCAATATTATGTGCTAAGGGATGATATATTATTCTGCATAGGTTCCGATGACTTGCTCAAGAAATGTTTGGGCAAAAAGGAACAACTCGTAGCCATGGCCGAGGTCCACGAAGGGATATGCAGTGCCCATCACGCTGGCATCAAGATGCGGTGGCTTTTGAGGAGGCACGGTTATTATTTGCCGACTATCCTCAAAGATTGCATTGAATATGCCAAGGGTTGTAAAGATTGTCAAAAACATGGGCCGATCTAACATGTCCCGGCCGGACCAATGAATCCCATTATTAAGGCTTGGCTCTTCAAAGGTTGGGCAATGGATGTGATTGGCCAAATCCACACCAAGTCAACTAAGGGCCATAAGTACATCCCACTCAAACAAGTTACCCAGGTTGAGGTGATAGAATTCATTGAGAAGAATATCATCCACCGATTTGGCTTGCCCGAGTCCATCATGACCGATAGAGGAACGACTTTTATGGGCGAAGCTGTTCAAGCTGCCGCGAGAAATTGGAGAATTAGAATGGTTCAATCCACCCCATACAATCCCCATTTCTTTCCAACTCTCTATGGGCGTATAGAACCTCAAAGAGGTCGCCCACGCAAACGACGCCATTCGCCCTTACCTATGGTCATGATGCCGTCTTACCACTTGAGATTTCGGTTAAGTCCCTAAGGGTAGTCCGCCATGCCGAATGGAGTAAGATTGGGCACTTTAGATAGATTGAAGGCCTAAAAAGAGATCGTGGCCCGAGCATACGACAAGAGAACCAAAGCCAAGAGTTTTGGGGTCAGAGATCTAGTATGGAAGACCATTCTTCCAGTGGGATCAAATGATCCAAAATTCGACAAGTGGTCTCCAACTTGGGAAGGCCCATTTCTCGTCCACTAAGTGTTGGGGAAGGGGGTGTACAAATTAAGTGACCAAAATGGTCGGGTCCATGATGCGCCGATCAATGGTTGATTCTTGAAAAAATATTATCCAATGGTTTGGGAAATGGCGAAGAGATAGTCCGCCGCATAGAAAAATGTTGTAATAAAAGAATGATTTTTATTGGAAGAGTGGGCATCGTAAAAGGATCTCTTCCAAAAGATATAATAGATATATATATATATATAGGTGGGCAAAAGTTTACTACAAAATATGGGGCCAAGTAATGGCCTAAGCATCCACCAAAGGTTCAAGAGATAATAACTAAGCTAGTTCTACCACATGTAATGACAAAGAAATAAAATGTAACTAGCTAAGTACAAAATGGGCCAACCAATGGCCAAGTATGAACCTAAGCATCAAGGAAAAGGGTACGAAGGGCAGTCCTAAAACTCTCCATCGCAGTATCTCCGGCGGACAAGTTAGACTGAATCATCAACTTCCTCTCTCGATACACTCCTACCGCCGCTGCATCCTGTCGAAGTTGAGCCTCGAGAGGCCTGTTACTCCGAACAATCTCGGAGACTTTGGTAACAATGCCAGCCTTCCTCTCTTGAAGCTGCCTCACCTGCTCATCGATATCCACAGCCCCTTGTTGCATCCGATGGGCAATCTCGATCTCTCTCCTTATGGTGGCACTACATGAGGTAATCCGCTGCTCCAAGTCTTGGCCTATCCTTTTCTCCTCCAAAAAAGGACGGCGACGGGGGGCAAACCTCTCCACCTGACCAAAGAGATGAGTAATCATAGCTGTCGAGCGTGGATCAGGGAAAAAGCCTGAACTCGCCAAAGGCTCAATGATGGCCTTGAGCTTGCTTCTCTCATCTTTGTCCTCCAAGGACATGAGGTCTCCATCTCTGTATGACCGAAGTATGGCCTCAGCCTCGAAATCTGATAGGGCCCCCGGTCGATGTGGAAGAAGTGGCAAGGAGAGCGGAAGCCTCCGTGGAGGATATAGATGCATCCCACTGATCTAGGAAGTCAAAAATATCACCAGAGGGCTGCAAGAAAATAATGGGCATTATATTTTTTCTTTCAAATAAGGAAAATAAATTGCACATGTATATATGTATATATCTCTTGTTTCATACCTGATCAGGGGATGGTAGATGGGCCTCTTCATGAGGGACCATGGCCAAGTTACCTCCATCCTCCGCCGATGGATCCGTGGTAATCTAGGCGGGCACAAAGGATGAAGACTCGCCAATCTAGAAAAAGGGTATAAGGATTACAATAATGGCCCATTTAATTGAAATAAGTAAGAAAATTCGGGGCGTACCTCAAGTTGGAGTTCAGATAGAATAGCAACGACCACCAAGGTAGGAGCTCCCGAGGTCAACATAAGGACGGGCTCAGGCGGTGCACTTTCGTCGGTGGGAATAGTGAAAGGCACACCACTAGTGACGATCGCATGGTCAACCATAATGGCTGTAGACTCCACCACATCCGCCTAAAAAAGGAGGGTGTGAGCTCTCTAACAAATATAAAGCTTTGAAAAGCATTAAGGGAGAGTAAGATCACCTGAAAAGTTGGGCCACTTCGAGGCGCCTCGAGAGGGCGAGTCGAAGGAGTGTCCGAGCTCATGGCAAAAAAGGGGCTGAAGTTCGGCCTCAATGGCCGTGGTGTCGACCGAAGAAAGTTCAGGGCCAAAAATGGCCTGCTAAAATGTTCAAACGTTGAAAATAAGGAATTTGGGGCAAGTGTTGAATAAATTTTAGAAGGATGAGAGTTTGGAACGTGTGGGAAGTCTTCCTCGGTCAGCTCGGCCACGTGCTCATGGGCGTGATCATCGGAGATGGGAATAATCTCGTGTGACCCCGTGGAAACATCCTCCGGGCGCTCCGTGGTGTCGATCTTGGCTGACTAAAGTTTGAAAATTTAATAAGCATAAAAGAAGTAAAAGAAAATTCAAACAGCTAAGGAGATGAGTTTACCTCATCCTCGCCCACCGAAGTCATGATTTGTGCCCCAATTTCCTTCTCAAGTGTGGAAGGTTGAGTTTCCTACATTTTTGGGCATAAAGGTGAGTTTTTGCCCTTCAAAATTAATAAATGAAAGTATGCAAAGACATAAGCTTACCGGAGCGGCGGACGAAGTAGTGGCCGATTGCACGGCCCAGACCGAATGAGAAGAGGAATGATGACCAAACCTTGAGGTGAGAGGTTCTGCGGAACTTTTCTGGGCAGGAGGAATGTTTGTGAGGGCACAATATTTTTGGCGGGGGTGTCTCCTAAAAAGTTGGAAGCTTAATCTCTTGGAGGTGCCCATTAAAAATTTAGAAGGTTGGAAATGCAAATCTTTAGAAGGGGAAAAATAATCATGAAGAGTAGCTTACCTTGAATGGGGGCGTTGAGCCTTTTCTCACCCTGCCCAGAATTTGCATTGGTAGATTTGGCCGAATTCTCTTTCTCAACAATGTCGGCGGGAGGATTTTCCTTATCGGCGATGTCGGCTATGAGATTTGAAGGGTTAGAAAAAGAAAGATAGCCAAAATTAAAATGGGAAAAAAGTGCAAATATTTTACCTTTTGCTTGGGCCTCTTCTTTTCTTTCTCTTACTGAAAGGCCAATGAGCATGGGCAATGCCTGAGGACCCTATCTTCAATCTCTGAACATGGTTGAGAAAACCAACTGGCCGACATCTCTTTCCACCAGTGGATGAAAATGTTAGAGTCACCAAACCGAGGATCTCTAATCGAAATATTGAAGGATTTCACCAAGTCTTGGTTGAAATCCGTCAAAGTGGTGACTTCTTTTGCATCTTTAAATTCCACCCACCGAGAGGAAAGTAGGTTGACGGAATCCATGGGTGGTATCGGGATGCTCTGAATAAAACCAAGCTGATAGCCGGCGACGGCGGGATAATAAAGCTCACCACCACAATGATAGTTGCTACCTTTGTTCACCATTAGGCCGTATGGAAGATCTCGGCTGATGAGGATGTTTGCCCACATATTACTTCAATCCTCTTTCGTCTCCACCGTAGGATATGGGGAAAGATCCAGGGCTAGATAATCCAGAAAACGGTGATCTAGGCAAATGGAGAGATGCTCCCTAGTCCTCTCATGGCACTCATAGAAAAATCGAAAGCAATCCTCAACATAATGCTTCCGGCATGGGGCGTTGAGCAAGGGCGGACCCAGAAGTGCTTTATAGTTTGGGCAAACGGTGGTGGGACTTAATTCCGGAAAATATAGCTGGAGCCACAATTGAAAAATCCATATAGGGCCAGAAGCATGATAATCTATGGGTTTAGTGGTTATCTCTCGGAGCCCTCTATAAAGATAGGCGAGAAAGATTGGGCCCATGGCCACTTGATGGCCATCCGCAAGCACCTCCGCCAAGGCTTGAAATTCCTTTGTGATCCCGCCGGATTTTGGGCATGCCAAGAACTTGCACAACCACATCACAAGGAAAGCCACATGCTTAGTGTAGGATACGCCATTGATGGAAGGAGGGTCAGTGGGATCTCCGCCATGGCCAAGATATGTCTTCACCCAACTCCCGGAGGTCTTGTTTGACTTGTGAAAATCTAAGCCCGCCTTGGCTTTTGGAAGGTTGGCAGCCGAGAAATCATCTCCATGAGGGCGAAGGCCGCGATAGCGGCCAAGTCTAGTAGATTGGGCATCATCATCCCAAAACGGAGCCTCATGCAATTGGTGGAGGAAGGCCAAAAACGTAAGGCCGCGATGATAAGAGATCAGTCACAAGGAAAGGGGCTCCTGCACATAGGAGCAATGTATCATAAATTCCAATCTTCCTCCAATGGCCCTTCAATTTTGGTGTCAATGCTTTGAACCAATGATACCAATCAAACTTTCCATCCGCCGAGCTTGAGTGGTTGGGCTTCCTAGCGGCGCATGATGCTTTCTTTGATGGGGCCTTTTTAGTTGTGTTGGGATTCGGTTTGAGGGGGCTTCCCATCGGCCAACCTTTAAATGGCTTGGAGCTCTCCCAAATGGGCGCCCATGTGAAGTCTGAAAAATAAGTTGGGCCACTTCTCGGCTGCGTCACCCACACCTTGGCCACCTCCTTCGGATAGGCGGAGAAAAATGGGCCAAGAATATATTGGGCAGAGTTGGGAAAGGTATTGAGAAAGTAGGCAAATACTTGCTTGCCCAAATCTTTGTCCATTGTCACTTTCATATCTTCAAAAAATTGGGCACTATCATTTCAAATGGATTCCATCCTACAAACATGAAGAAAAATCGAATCAAAGAAAAATATAGTGAAGCAGGGCAAGCAAAAAAGAAAACTCTCAAACTTCAGAAATTGAAAGGTTTGGGGTTTCGATTTGCTTACCTCTACACCAATTCCGAGCTAAACAACTAGGGGGGGCAATGTTTGGGGGTGGTAGAAATCCACCCGGGCACGAGAATTGGTTGGGCTAGAGCTGGAAGGGCGGCCGGATTTTTCTGCTGGGCACGGCCAGGATTGGAGGGGTTCGCAGGCATGATTATTGGAGATCTTGGCCAGGTATTGAGTGTTTGTTGAGACTGAATTTGTTGGGCTGGGGTCCAATGGTTTTGGCGGTCGAGATTTGGAAGTGTTGGAGCCTTGGAGAATTGCGGCTGGAGGTATTTGAAATACCATAGATTGGGCTGTGGGTCTCAAAACTGGGAGCTGATGGTTCAAATTATAAATGAATATATATATATATATATATAATATAGGATATATAAATAGCGGCCGACTGTGTTGAAAAAAGTGTGGCGCTGTATTTGGCCTAGCAAATTGGGCAGAGGGACTTTGAGTTGGAACTTTTAAGTTTTGGTCTTTGTTTTTTTGTTTGTTGGAAGTTTAATATATATATATGAATATGTCGGCCAGGTATTTGGTTTTGAGCAGGGCGCATGGATCTCTTTGCAAGATGGGCTGAAAGTTGTTTGTCTTACTTTATATATATAATGGGAGAATGCGGTGGAGCCCTTTGGGTGGTCTGCAAGTGGGCTGAAATGTTCACAAGCTAATGGTCATATATATATGTATGTATAGTCTCCTTCTATTGAGGGATCCCTCAAATAATTTTATTTGAAGGACGCCCTTTAAGGTACCTTATAATTTTTTTTTCCAATGATCCAAACCATCTCTTTTTTAGGTCTTCATTCATAAATCATCCTTACAAAAAATTAGACAATTCGGAAACTGTTTCGACATCCAATTGTGTCATACAAAATCAATGAACATGGTACTTCAAGAAAGTACTAACATTTCAATTACTCAATTGAATGGTCAAATGATATCAGATTCAAGTGATTTTTTGTAGAGATGATCTTTGAATGAGTATCTACAAAATAGACGGTTTGGATTAGTGAAATACAATATAGAGTGGGCCCTACAAGGGGTGTCCCTTAAATAAGCTTATTTAAGGGATCCCTCAATGGAAGCTCTCTGTGTATATATATATATATATATATATATATAATATGTTATATGAATGTGGGCTGAGTTTTTGCAAATATGTATCTTTACATTATTTTAGGTTTATTTAATATATATATTATATGGATGGCAATGTAAGAGAAATCGGATGCCCAACTTTAAGCTACCGATTCAAGTCCGGATTTTTCGGAGGATTATGTGCACGTGATGGAGGCCTCACAAGGAAAGAAATCAAGAGATTTGATAGTAACTCCAAGTGTTCCAAAGCAAGGAAGAATTAAGCATGTCAGAATATCTCAATCAATGCAATCCTAAGAATTTAGGGGGGGCCTTGGAAGGAAAGATTTTTAAGAAGAGTTGATATTTGGTCATTCAATGGCCAGCCAATGGGCTGACGAGTGCCCTATATAAACCTTGCTCAATGAAGGCATCAGACACACAACATCAGACCAACAAACTTATCTTTCGTCTCGCACTTTTCTTTTCCTAGACTTAGGATTTTACTTTTCAAGCACCTAGTATAGCGAGTTCTTCCTTTTCTTAGTATAAGTTTAAATTCTCGTTCAATTTATATTTTCTTGTACTTTAAATTCAAGTTTATTTCAATTGCTTTGCCTTTCATTGTTATCACATTTCAATTAATTAATTTATGCAATTTACATTACGCACTTGTCTTTACATTCTTTATTTTACGCACTCGTCTTTAAATTATTTATTTTATGCACTTTACTTTCCGCACTTGTCTTTCAATTATATTTAAATTCAAGCACCTTTTACTTTACGCACGTGTTCTTTGTATCATTATTTTTCACTTTCAATCTTCATCTCCACCCACTCCACATTATTTGGTTACTCACATAAAGCCTTGACCCCGAGGTAGTGAAAGAACCTAGGCCGTGAGGAGGTTCCTTGTTTGGCCGAACAATCGTTTGATTAAAGTCAGATCTCGGACGCAACATATCCATCTACTCACATTCCATTCAAACCCAAATTCAGGGCTTGGTGGTGGCACGCCCCGCACTCAAAAGAAGAAGGACCAAAAACTCCTTCAATCGGCCTACCCGGCCGAAAAGAGGGAAACAGAATTGATCTGTAAAACCTTAAAATTTACCCAAACCAAGCACGTAAACAGGTAGAGCACGAAGAGTAGATGAAGTTTCATACCTAGTTCGACAATTTTAGTTGCCGGAATCGTCGAAAATAGAACGAACAGTTTCGGTGGCGAATGAGGGTTTTGGGCTGGGTTTCAGTCAAAAATTGCAACCAATGTGGGAGTTTGGAAGGTGAAAATGGGTATGGACGTGTAGCGGTGGAAGAGACAAAGATTTTTCAAGTCATTTCGTCTGAAACAGTGGCCAGACGAAGCTCGAATTGACACCGGAAAATCTGCACGGTGCGATGGAAAGAGAGAGGGTCGTCGTGGGAGAGAGAGAGAGCTGACTAGTTATTTAAAAATCGGAATTTGAAATATTTACGGTTGTGCCACTACACTTCCGTTTACCGTAACTTCTTCGTTGAAACTCCGATTTTGGCCCAATACATGTCTACGAACTCATATCAACGAGCTCTACGCAACAGTGCCAATCAAATCCCAAAAATCCTTATAGATCAAAAAGTGACTATCGTGAACTCACTTCGAGGGTAAAATTGTAACTTCACAATTTAAGTAAATCGAGTTAAATTGAATAAAATGATTAAATTGGGTCGGGGTGTCACACATGATGTACGGCTCGTGACATGAGCGCATATGCGCAAACTAATCTTTAATCAAACTCGAGGCTCAACTTCAATTAACCAAATTGTCTATTTGTTAGAATCTCATAAAACATCATCCTAACCAAAAAATAATCAATCAAATTGGAAATTATCTAAGAAACACAATAAATAAATAAAAGGGATGATAATCAAGAACTGAGTCTGTGACGAGAGAGATGAGGATATTGTTGTAAGCTTTAGATAAAGAAGTTTCTATTTTCTTTGTTTTTTTCTTTAGGAGGAACCATGCTTAGATGGGTTAGAGATCATCATAGAGGTTGCCTTTTGTTTTGTTTTTGTTTTTTTTGTCAATATGGTAATATCATCACTAAACCAGGGTGAGGAACGAATACTAGTTACAAAAGCACAAGCCTAAAAGACAAAGGAGCAATAAAATAAAAAAACTAGAAGCCTGTGACGATGCGAAAGCAAGCAGAAGGCCACAGTGTTTCAGAGTATTGATCTTATAATTGATGATGACAAAAATATCTTAAGTTATTCGAGTCATGCGTGTTTGATTTTACAGTGAATTACGCAGAAATCTAGGCAGCCAAAAAAAAATGAAATTGAGATGGAAGAAAAGAGAAGAAGAGACCACAATACGAGAGGAAGAATTTGTAGACAATAAAGAATTTGTGCTTTAAACAAAGAGAAACAAAGAAGTCAAACACCTAGATTACTGCAGAGGCTCACAATGTTCTATTGGCGCTTTAACATTTAAAATTTTAACATTAACAAAATGAAAAAAAAGTCATTTTTAACATTAACAATTCAAGGACAAGGCCTATTTTTTTTATTTTTTTTGTCAAATTACTCTAATATAGAGGGGCATTTCTGTCCAATCTTGCATCCTCTTCACAACCATTCCCTAGCCTTAGAGAGAGAGAGAGAGAGAGAGAGAGAGAGAGAGAGAGAGAGAGATAGAGAGAGATAGAGAGAGAGAGAGGGAAAAGGTAGGGGGGAGGGGGGTGTGGGTGGAGGGAGGGGATAAGGTGGTTGGTTGTCGCGATAGGGTATGGAGTGGGTTGAGTTAAGAGAAAGAGGTTGGGTGGGAGGAGGGATGGGAGAAGGTTGTTGGGGAGGGGTGCGAGGTGGATTTGGGGTGGTTGTGGACCTGTAAGTTGGACCGAAATGCCCCATGTTAGAGTAATTTGACAAAAAATTGGGGATTTTTCTTGCATTACTCGGAATTAAAACTACATGGACCTTAGTGTTAAAAGTGATAAGCTACAGGGGCCAAATCTGCATGTAGATGCATGTCAAAATTAATAATAGCACTGATTCCGTATAAAAATTCTAGGAGATTACAAAAAATATTTAAAAATGATTTCGAAAGGGAAGTTTCAATTTTAGAGGAAAGAAGAACGTGAAGAACTGATAATAATTTTCAGATGTGCTTGAACAAGTCTGTAGCTAGCGTAGGTGGAAAACTCATCCTTTGCATATTTAGAGTCCAATAAGAGAGGTATGCAGAGATGAGTTTTTTTTTTGTTTTTTGTTTTTAAACCCCTTTTCTTTCACTGGTTTTAATGCCATTTTTCTTCCCATAAAAGTTAACACCCTTGTCTTCAAGCTGTTTTCCTTTTGGTACTCCTTTGACGTTTTCAAAAGATAATTGATGTACCTTAAATTAGGACATGAAGGGAAATCTCATATAATATTTCAAAGGATAAGAGAAAAGACCCTAATTGCATTGTCATAACTTGAGATGTTTTTTTTTGGTAATCTTGATAAGTATAAGTTGACTCTGGTTGGCACGGTGAAATAAATCTCTTTGCAAAACACATGTGCATGCCATTAGAATGGTGTTGAGGGCGCAACTCTGTAGAATGTCATGGTACAAATGGAAAGTTTCATACTTGGATGAATAGTCAAACACAAATAGTGTGGTCAAATTCTGATTTAGTCAAAGAAGAATAGTGTGGTCAAATTTTGAAAAGAATTTGACGGACCATTATTATGGGAAGAAAAATACAATTAAAACCAAAGGAAAGAAGGGTAACAAAAAG